AATTTCTCGTTTGAAGAATTCAACATCAAGCCGAACTTTGTTTCAGAGTCCTGGAACATCACCAATGCCAAGGTGTAAAAGCACAAAGGTTTTTACAAACATAATTCATAAAATACAGTACGACTACACAAAAACATAATTGTATATTTTTAATAAGACAATATGTTAAATAATATGCTAAAAGTTATTATCATAGTAACAGTAACATTGTATTTTAATGCTTTTTTGCCTGGGAGAATTTCTGTCCATAGGCATATGAGGCGGGGCGTTGCAACCCCTCCAGTCAGTGTTTAGTATTTCTGCAAGTCTGTATAGGAGATGTGTTCCTCCTATTTTATACCTCTTGTTCATCTATCAATAAACTCATGACAATGTCGGGCAATTTCTATCCACCCGTACGCCAATATTATTTTTCAGTGCTGGGAGTGGCATTCCAGAAAACCTATAGTACACAAACTTCTTTGTTGTTGTTGTCTAATTGTGCTGGTAGGCAGCCTGGCACTGACATTGCCCCTCTCACTTTTGCTGTTTGTTTTGTAGTTTCCTATCAGAGAGATTAAACCGGCTCCTCCAAAGAAATTCCCAGTAAAACTTCATAAATGGACACATTTTGAAGAAGATAAAGCATTCATTGAATTCATATCTGTTGCAGACAATCATACAAATGATTATGATTGAAGAGGCTTACGAATTATGTAATATCTCTAGAGCAAAAGCATCACCTTTCATACACTTCATCATATATCATTCATGTGTACTGGTGAAATCAATGTGATGCAACATTTTAAAAACTTCTCTTTACTTTTGCGCATAAAATTTTATTTTTAAAAACATTTTAATTATCTTTAAGTACAGTAATATTATGTTAATATTTTTTTGATTTAAAATAAATCAATTTTATCAACATCAATTATGTAGTGTGTGATCTTTTTATTAATTTGTGATGAGCAAGGGAACACTACACTGAAAACCATACATACTGTGAACCTCCGAATATAAGCCCCTGTGTATAAGCCCCCCCCCCCATGTATAAGCCCACCACATGTACTAACGCTCACCTCATTCCAAATATAAGCCCCACCCTGATTATAAGCCCCCCTCATTGTCTTTATAGCTTACAATGTTAATCAAAGTGTGTTATTAATACATGTTTATTTTCCTGTTTATGACTGACTTGTTTATTACTAACACAAAAGATTGTCCATGTATAAGCCCCCTTGTGTAAGCCCATCAAAAATTGTTTACGAAAGAATATAAGCCCAGGGCTTATAGTCGGAGGTTTACGGTAGATTGTCAAAAAACTGCAGAACTGATAAGATGGTGTCCATGGGATACAATACTTATGATAGAATCAGGGAAGCGAGGAAAACACATGCAGTACAGGAAAACAAGACTACCACAAGAAACTCCCCAGTTCTATCCTTACAGATAAAAGAAATATCAGTATCACACCAGACACCAATAAACAATTTTGCATCTTCTGCCAAACATTTTGTTTGAATGTTTTTTTTTAACCCATTGAGTGGTAGCACTCTCCCCCTGATGAGTAATAAGTCTAGTGTTGAACAGTAAAATAATCTGGTGTTAGGCAGAGTAAAATAATAGACAACTGGTTGATCATTTGAGCATAAATAACTGGTTGATCAGTATAAAGCTGGACAAAGGACTATTCTTCAAACTATCTGTATTCCGTAAAACTATATAAACATGAACCTCACGACATTTCAAGTTCATCACACGGTAGTCCTTCCGGAATCAAGTTTAATGGCTGTTTTGACACACAGTGAACAAACAGAAGCCCGTGTCCACCCAAAAACGAAGCTTTCTTTCCACGAATAGTGCAAAAATTTACCATTTTACAATTTTTTTCTATAAATCTTTCCGAATCGCTCGAATCCTCGAGGTGTAAACACAGCGAGAGCCGACCGAACAATGACGGCGCAGAGCGAGAAATCGGTAATATGTAAAAAACCGCGCCTGACCGCGTTGCATGCCGGTATAGTCTTCACTCCTCCTCTGGGTTTTATGGTTGGGAAGAGTTCTGCTAAACCCAGTTTGAAGTTGCACTTGTTGTGGCTTAGAATGCAGCCGTTGTATCAAGACGTGAAAATTTGTGATTTGGCGTTGTAAACTGAGCGAAGACATTCAGAGCGAAGATTATTCATATATTGTAATTACTCAATTCTTTTCAATGATCTATTGTATTGGTAGCCGTTGCCGTCGCGTTGCCGTCCTAAAATCGTAGGGTCTCTAATGTGTAAAACACGCACAAAATCCTTCATATACTCTCGCTTTGCTTTCAAATACAGCGTGTCAACTAGAACAACAACGTTACAGTACCTATAATAGCCCCAAACATCATTAATATCCCCAGTGTTCCTGCCGCTTCTGACTATAGCTGGGTTTCAGTAATTCAGTCACGTGATACGTTTAGCGCTTGGTGGTTACTCCAAATGGAAACACATTTATCGGATCGAGTTAAATATTCATTATATAAGTATTGATCTTGTGTTTGGTATCAAATATATGCAATTTAATGAAATTTACTTGCTTACACAAGTAATAAAGCGGCAATATGTGTAATGTTGACCACCAAGCGTTTCCCTATGTATAAGGCTTGAGTGAAACCCATCTATACGTCACAGGACACTATAGCAGTGGTTGCACAAAATTGACCGACTTCGAAAGCCGGTTACGGTTTAATCTTGTGTTAACGAAAAACTTCAAAGCAATCTTCCCAACAACTTGTTTATAAACTTGGAGATATCTTTTCCGAGGTCTTTCCTGGATCAACAGAATAGTTTTTTCTAAAGTCCTGAATTAAGCAAATGGGAGAACGTACCCAAACCAAAGCAGCGGGTTACGTTTTAACCCATCAGAGTTAGCCTTAATCCAGCTTTGGAGAAAACCAGTCCTGGTTGTTTTCTTTTTGATACTTTGGTAAACTTTATGGTGATGACTCACTTCTATTGTAACTGTGACCTCGTGAAGCAGTATGCATGTTTAAAATTATCCCTCAACCGCCGAAAACATGTTGCCGTCGCTATTGTTTGGTTTCAGTAATTAAATAAGTGTCGATTGTTCACCGCGAAATATGTTATTCAGCACACGAAAAATTTGTTTGAAATAATTTTTTTGCCCTTGCAGAATGCGGAAAAGATTAGCTCAGGTGAATTTATGGATGGGGAATTGATCAAAGTCTTTTATTCAGAAAATGTATTCTACAGGTATTCTAGACCTAAATATACTACTGTAAGCACCCCTCATTGTTTTAAAATCTCGAACGCAGGGTTCCATTGTAAGTAGCAATAAACAATATACTTCAGTATCAAACTATAATTGACCATCATCTGTATCGGCCCGGTCACAGTACACAACGATAACGATACGATAACTTGTATACGCGCGCTGATTGGTCAAAAAATTTATCGTTATCGTGCGACTTTATCATTTTCGTTGTAGTGTGGACACCAACATAGTTATTTTGACCAATCATCGCGTGCTTACAAGTTATCGTTGTGTAGTGTTATCTGGGAAGGCTGTCTTGATAGAACAGTAGCTGCAATGGTATTTTGTATGTCCGAAATCCAGTCTTTATTTATATAGATTTTACTACAAGAAATATTTAATCGCTGAAGTGATGCTCCCTGATGGTTCTGTCCTGCGGTCTACCGGTCCTACCCATATTTATTTCAAGCACTGGGTTTACGACTTGAAGTCAGAAAGTGTAAGCGTTAAAGTAGTATAATTTATATCCTATTGTTAATGTACCTTGAAAATCGTTTGATGTACCACCGCTCCAACCACTGAGCTATTGGGATGCCCAGTTGAGGCTACCTCCTCCGTAGGCCGTAATGAATTCCCTAATAGACCTTTCCCCTTGAGTCCCTAATAGACCTTTCCCACTTGAAGTCAGACCTTTCCCCTTGAGTCCCTAATAGACCTTTCCCACTTGAAGTCAGAAACAGAGCTCCACTCCATGTTTACCTGACAATTGTTCGTGTGACAATGAGACAGTAAGCACAATTCCTGTTATAATCTCGAAACGAATTAATAAGAAATATAATGTGCGATATCGACATGACTCCATCCGGCCAAATAATTTAATTAAAATTCCTATTAAACACTTGCCGGGTTCCCAACATACGTTCGTTCCCTCCCTAATGCTATCTAATGTTATGTCATTGGTGCCCAAAATAGATGAATTACGCGAAGTTACCCTCAATAGTGATGTAGAAATAGCTTGTATTACCGAAACGTGGCTCAGAGATCATATCGATGATAACGTTGTTAATGTGTCAGGATTTAGGTTGGTTCGCCTTGACAGAATTAACAGTCAACACGGGGGAGTCTGTATGTACGTTAGGAATAATATTCAATACAACATTGTACAAGACCTTTTAGACAGCAATTTTGAAATCGTCTGGGTTCATATTCGCCCTACTCGTCTTCCAAGGGGAATTCCATGCATAACAAGACGCCTGCTCAGGCGTTCACACTGGCCTGAAAATAACGAGATACGTGCTATGGTGCAAAAGGCAGGAATACAAATCTTAAACCGCAAGCAAATTTTATGGAATTTTTTTTAAAAAATAAAGGACCTTTTCGGGAGACGTTAATGGTACAAGTCAATAACTAGGAGTTACTATCGCAAGGAAAGTGCTGCCTTTTTGGCGTATGAACTGAATGCAATTATGCAAAAATTTATACTTCTACACAATTCTTGGTTATATCCCCAATGTTTCCTTCTCGTTCATCATTTAAGCCCGTTCACAAACTCATTCTTAAATTGTGTGCACGGAATACGAGTAAATAGCCAACATGAAAATGAAGCCATTGGGTCAAAAGTGGATATTAAGGTCTATTACATGTACCTATTAGCTGCCAATGCACACTACTTTAGTAACTCTGGCTAACGCCAGACCAATTTACACTGTAACGCCAGACGATTTTACTTGTTAGTGGCAGAGTACTGTCAGTAAATGGGTTAACAAACACATCTGCCAATGTCTCTTATTAACCCATTAACAGGCAATGCACCCTGCTTTAGTATTCTTTAGTGACTCTTCAGAATTTGCTCAGAGTCAATGTGAGTAAAATACATCTTGTATTCAAGCGCTTTCATATACAAAGTTTCGTTTGAATACGGCACAGAGTAGGAATATTTATTTAGAATTTTTCAGAATATCGGGTTTTTACTCGCACGCACGTTTATAGCTCGATCAATGAACGTGCAAATCATGCCGACCTACAGAATCGATTTCCGGTTTTTCCTAAACAGCACGTTCATTCACTGTGCGTTCCATGGGCCACGCTAAAAATATAAATATTCTGTAAATACCGAAATAAAAGATGACAATCTCAAGACACAAGCTTGAAAATAACACTATAAATAGTGTTTTCGATTCTGGTTCCAATAATATCATTACGAAAAAGATATGTCCAAAGGGGCCGAAGTTATGTTCGGCAAAATTCCAAAATGTATGGCTAGTACGTTTACATTGTTTGTTATATTATGAAATATGATACCATACTTGTATTAAAATTCGCGTCGAACTGATGTTATTGTATTAGGCAAATGAGTAGACTTGCCACAAGTCGACCTCGAACGAAATGCGTTTCTTCGAGGTCGACTTGTGGCAAGTCTAGCAAATGAGAACCATACAATAATGGTTCTAGTTCTTGTTGGTATTTTGAACGCACGCTTTATCTTTAGTATAGCTACCACAAAGCTTTTCGCGCGGATTATATTTCGCGCAGTACTAAAATTTCCGCACCCAGCGGCCATAGCCTGTGAGAATTTACGGCTGTACACAGGCTAAGCGGCCAGCGCTACGCTAATTCTCTTAATTCTAGTACTGCGCGGATTTTAATACATGTATTTAAAGGTATATTGTCGACATTTGACTAAAACTATCGTAAGGAATTCGGAGAGTTTGTCCTTGTTTATATTCCAATATAATGTATAAATTCGCTGCGTACAAATTTATGAAATTTTGGGGTTTTCGAGTCGTTTAATTTAATACAAAAAGAAAAACATTAATTCAACAGGCAAGAAAGTCCAGAGTGCGATGCAAAAATTAACACAAGTACACAACGGATGTTATGAGTCCACGACGTATATTTATAGTTGTTTATTAATTAAAAGTCAAACTGTCAAACCTTTAACTTGTCCTTGTTTAAATATCCTTCTATATATTGTATAAATTCGCTGGGTCTAAATTTTCGAGTCGTTACACAAAGAAAAACACATTAATTCAACACGCAAGAAAGTCCAGAGTACGACACAACGTAAAATCCATAGGAAACCGGCACAATTCTTTGAAAATTCAACGAAACTGTGTTTGATCACTCTGTGAAAAGCCGCCATTGGAGTTCGGAATTGTGCGCGTGCGTACAAGTGTATGGGCTAATAAACGAAAAATGCACCACAAGCATGGCATGAGTCGGATATTACGTACATAAATACGGACTTATTACTATACTATGTAAATCATGGAACCGAGGGGATCGATGGCATTTTGGCTTAGTCGTTGCACCCTGAGCCTGCGATGAGCTAACGCAAACTCGATTTCTCGACTACGAAAAAAACAGGAAAAGACAGAAAAAGAGGGATTTAAGACACTTGGCCTACAGGCCAGTGTAATTATTGGAACCACGTCAACAATCGAATCTCGTTTTCCCAATAGTGGTGTCATCCTGCTTGGAGACTTTAACAACTTAAATGTCTCTAGAATCAAACGTAACTTTAGGCTTAAGCAAACTGTGAACTTTCCCACACGTGGCCGGAACACCTTGGACCTCATCCTAACTAATTTGAAAGACTATTATGCTTCCCCCATTAAACTCTCTCCCCTCGGTCTTTCTGATCACGTAACGGTTAAAGTTTTACCGCTCTCCCGAACAACAACATCCAAGTCCAAAACAAGCATCAAAACAAGGGACATTAGACCAACGAAACGTTTAGCAATGAGAACATATTTGGAAGCTGTTGACATTCAAACCTTGATAGATAATAAGATCTCTTGTGAGGAAAAAACTACGATGTTGGAAAAATCGTTAGCACAGGTATGAATTCCCTTCTTCCAATGAAGAGGAAAACGATTATAGCTAACGAGCCCCCATGGCTCAATGAAAACCTTAAAAAGTTGATACGTGCGCGCCAGGAAGCCTTGTCCTTGGGTGACATGGTTACCTTCCGATTACTTAGGAATCAAGTTAATCGAGAGAGGAAGTCAAGCCGTGCAAAATATTACGATTCAAGAGTTAAACAATTGAAATAATGTGATCCTTCCGGTTGGTGGAAGGAAATTAAGAAACTTAGTGGGATGTCTGCAGTGTCAAGTGACAGTACAACTTCAATTCTACAACATGTTGTTTGTGACCCAGTCGAACCGCCTCCACTTAATATTGCCAATGTTATTAACAACGCATTCCTTGCCTCAATGAGTGACTTTTCTCCATTATCTCCCAACGTCCGTCTTGCCACCGATAAAGAACCCCCATTTACCGTCACAGAGCAATCAGTTTTTCAGAAACTGTTAGCACTAAATCCGACCAAAGCAACTGGGCCAGATGGTATTCCCTGCTGGCTTTTAAAAGAGAACGCCGATATTTTTGCACGACCAGTAATGTCGATTATTAACTGTTCATTCTTGGAGTCTCGCTTACCTCCTTCATGGAAGGAAGCCGATATAGTACCAATACCCAAGCAAAAACCTGTCAATGACGTAAATAAAGATCTAAGACCAATCTCTTTGACTCCAGTACTCTCTAAGGTCGCTGAGGAATACGTAGTTGAATGTTTTGTAAAACCAGCTGTATTGAAAAAAGTTGACCCACAACAGTTCGGTACATTACCTGGCTTGAATACCACCTATGCTCTTATTAGCATGCTACATAAATGGAACTGTGACACCGATGGTAATAGTGCAACAGTGAGGATCGTATTGTTCGACTTCAAAAAGGCCTTCGATCTGATCGATCATGATATTTTAATTCAGAAACTAGTGTCGTACGAAATTCCAAATAATGTTGTCAATTGGATAATAGATTTCTTGTTGAACCGCAAACAAAGAGTTAAACTCTGCCAAGATTGTGTTTCGGAGTGGGGCTCGGTCCCCGCGGGTGTACCGCAAGGAACAAAATTGGGCCCATGGCTGTTTTTAGTCATGATTAACGATTTAAATGTCTCTAATGATGTGATGTGGAAATATGTGGACGACTCAAACATCTCCGAAACTGTTAAAAAAGACGAAGTAAGTCATATCCAATCAACCGTAGATGAGTTCGTACGCAAGTCCAAAACCGAAAAGTTCGTGCTGAATGAGCGCAAATGTAAAGAAATGAGAATTAGTTTTACGAAATCGGAAAAAGTCTTTCCACCCGTTACGATAAATATGTCCCACATGCCAAAATTCTGGGCCTGAATGTATCCGACAACTTAAAATGAAATTATCATGTTAGCGAACTCGTTAAAAAATCTTCAAAAAGATTGTACTTCCTAACTCAGTTAAAGCGCGCCAAAGTGGGTTGTTTGGAATTGGTACAATTTTTTAAATCCTGCATCAGATCTTTAATTGAATATGCTTGCCCAGTGTATCACGATGGTCTCCCAACGTATCTTTCGAGTGATCTCGAAACTATTCAAAGACGAGCAATGCGAATCATCTACCCCACAGAATCTTACGAAGATGCCCTACTATTATCAGGTCTAACTTCCCTATTCCTACGGCGCCAACAGATTACTAACAAAACCTACGGCGCCAACAGATTACTAACGATGATGCACACAAATTACACGAACTACTGCCTGCTAAAAACAATATCTCGCTTAATTTACGGAAAAAGTCGAAATTCAATAACCCAAGAGTAAAAACGATCCGTTATAGAAATAGTTTTATCATCAGTAATTCAATTAAGGCATAATTAACAATAGTATTAGGCAATCTAAATATAAACACGATCAGTTCAAGAACTGTTTTAAACAATGAACCATTTCAGAAATAGTTTTTACCGTAACCTAATTTAGGCATAATTAGCATCTAGGTGTTGTATTTTCTAACTTGTACATATATAATGCATAGTGGAATTCTCCAACATGTTTTAAGATCCTCTCTTTTATCAATTCTTGTAAATTTTACTTAATTCAGCTTATGGCTGCGATGTAAATTTCAATAAACTATCTATCTATCTTGAGTGAAATTTTGATCTAGACAAGTCTGGACAAAAATTTCATCACAGCTTGAAAGAGCATCACAAAATTAGTAATATTCCGAGGTTTCGTTGCGAAATGTTGTAAAATGCGGATAACATAGCCTTGCGAAGTTTGCCGTTTTTCAGTCATTTTGTATTACAAATGGGAAATTGATAATCAGTTTGATCATCTGATTGCAATTTCCCGTTTGTAATGCAAAATGACTGAAAAACGGCAAACTTCGCAATGCTATATTATTCGCATTTTACAACATTTCGCAACGAAACTTCGGAATATTACTAATTTTGTGATGCTCTTTCAAGCTGTGATGAAATTTTTGTCCAGGCATATCTAGATCAAAATTTCACTCATAAGGGGAAAGGTCTATTCTTAAGGCAGAAATTCAACGGAGTGACGTCATAACGTCAGTATGAAAAAATAATATTAAACGCTATGACATCATGCCAATGATGCATGACTGCCGAATGAGTGAGGAATTGTGTCACAACACAAATGGTTTCCTACAATCGGCTGCTGCTTCTCTAAAACAATTATTGAATTCAATTTTCGCATGCGATATGAAGAATTACCAAGCCGAAGCTTGATCATTCTTTATATCATGCGAAACCGAATTTATTTACATGTATCTCTTGGCTTGTGGAAAACACCACGTGTCGTATATTTATTATTGTAAAGCTTTCGATACGTAAGCTAGCTCGGATCAATAATAATATTATTAACACTAATGAAGATCTGGACTTATATACGGATCGAAAACTTTGCATTATTTAATAATTATTGTATGGCAAACATCACTTCCGGTGAAATGGCGATTGGCTGAGAAGCACTTTCAGCGGTCCATTATTTTCCCTTAATGGACCGGCGGTCCATTACGTAAAAACAAACGCATGCATTTTAAAACAAAACAGCAAAACTAATTGAAAATTATAATTTAATTTATAAGATATATATAGAGAGTTATAGAGTTATAGAAACACGCGTGAAAGTTTGGGAGAAACGAGAAATTGCGTGGGAACACGAGCACGAAGTGAAACACGGAAAAAATGTTTTCTATTTCCTTTATTAAATAGCCTTTTAAAAACAATAGAAAAGATAAATTTATTGATTTTAATTGCTTTCATTCAAATATTAATTCCACCTTAATATACGTTCGTGTAAACTTAATTATAAAAGCATAGCGAAGTAAACAAGTACATCGCTGTCAAAACAACAGACTGCACTTAACAGGTTTACTTTATAAAGTATATAATTCACTCAACAACGTACATGCTTGCATGCAAAGAAAGCACTGTTTTAAATAGTTAGTGAACGTTTAAACATGATTAAAAACTATAGTAAACGTGATTAAAAACGTCGCGAGGAAATATTTTTTTAAAAAGACAAAGTAAAATTAAAATATCTTACCTTGGTAAACAGTCAAACAGATACAATGTGTGCTACAATTATACTTTGTGCTTTAGGTCTTCGCTTTCTAAGTTAGCAAAGTGTTGCCTTTTTTTGTAACGGTTCTTCGGCGTTTCGGGACGTTTTTCAACTTTTTTCAAAATTAAATTTTGTTTGTATTTTGTCTTTTAAACTCCCGCGCAATCCACGCAACCCGCGTGAAAATTCCCCGTGTTTCTATCGAGTTATAGAAACACGGGTTTTTTGAGCTTTTGACCAATCAGCGCCCGTGTTTTTAAAAGGCTATTTTATAATATGCATTTCAAATCATGCATTTGTTGTTTGTTTCAAGTGTAAATGCCTATAAATGCCATATAATAAACTTTTTATTAACCTCGCTTGCTCGGTATGTACAGAGAAATATCAGACCTCGGACTTTTTGTACAAACCTCGCTCTACGGGCTCGGTCTGTACAAAAAAAGACCTCGGTCCGATATTTCTCTGTACAGACCTCGCGCTCGGTTTTAATATACGATACATAGCTATGATGTTTTCCACAACACAAGATATATAAGAATAGTTAACAATTATTTGCCGAAGGTGAAGTGATTACCGGTGAATATTCACCGTAATCACTGAGCATGAGGCGAATAATTGTTTTAGTATAAACTTTTAATATAAATGAATGTAAAACAATTAATGAATGTAAAACAATTGCTCGAATGCAGCAGTTTGTATTGACGGGTATTCAATAACAAGATGTGACCGAATTGATAAGCTGGGCGGTGGAGTTTGTGCTTTTATTAAATCAGACATCCCGTTCAAAATTCTAACAGAATTTAATGACATCAATTTTGAAACTTTATGGATCTATGTAAGACCTCATAAACTTAATCGAGGCTTCTCTTGTTTGATCGTATGTGTGGCCTATAAACCTCCATACAGCGACAACACCGCGTTTATAGATCACCTGAGCACAGCACTTGACCTCGCTCTCAATAAGTACCCAAATGCAGGTATATTGTTACTCGGAGATTTTAACAGATATCCCGTCTCATTTTTATTGAGACATTTTACTTTGAAACAAATCGTAAAACAACCAACAAGGAAAGATGCTGTCATTGATCTTATTCTTACTAATATATCAGACACATGTGACTCTCCTAAATTGATCGCACCTATTGGACTCAGCGACCATAATTCCGTTTTATGTATTTTAAAAAAATGTAAATCATTGAACGGATGCAAAAAAATAAAAATTAGACCCGGTAACAGAGGTGCCAAGGCTGCATTTGTGTGAACAAAAACTGGAACTTTTTCAGGATGTTATTCATACCGGCTTAGACCACTTCCTTCCATGTAAAGTAGTTAAAATGCACGACCGAGATAAGCCTTGGATAACTCCGGCATACAAGGAACTTATTAAAAGCAGACAAAAGGCATTTTTTCAGAAAAATGACAAATTGTACCGTCGACTACGTAATCGTGCTAATAGAGAAAGTAAGAACCTTAAATCTGCATTCTTGGAACATAAATTGGAACAATTGAAACGTAATCCTGATCCTAACAAATGGTGGGACACTGTGAAACAAATAGCTGACTACCCTTAGAAGAAATCGTTTTCAAGTCTTCTCCTAGGAGACCAAGTCGTCTCTGGAAAGCAACTTGCTGAAAAAATTAACGAGGCTTTCGTATATGTTACTCGAAATATTCGTCCTTTTAGCCCTATCCCTTCCCCTGATACCCAATTACAAATCGATTGTACTACTATTCCAACCGAGTACATTATTAGGGAAGAAGACATATATTATAAATTATCTTGAATATCATCTTCGAAAGCAGCTGGCTCAGATGAAATACCGGATTGGGTTCTAAAAGATTATGCGCCCCTGCTGGCTCCTCCTGTTACTTCAATCTTCAACGCCTCCCTTCAACAAGCGTCTGTTCCCGCGGTATGGAAAAAAGCCGACGTCATCCCTGCCGTAAAAATAAGATGCCGAGTGACATTACTAAAGACTTGCGTCCCATCTCGCTTACTGCCACTTTGTCAAAAACGTGTGAACGTTTTGTCGCAGACTGGCTGATGGAGTTGATTGGTGAGAAGATCGATAAACGACAATTTGGATCCCTAAAAAACTCCTCAACAACGCATGCATTATTGAGTCTTCTCCATCACTTATTAAACGAAACTGATGTGCCGAAAAACGCTGTGAGAATTTTTTTATTGGACTTCTCTAAAGCTGTCGTGTATTTAGATTATACTTTTAACAAAATATGAATAATACATAAGCATGACCGATCTACATATCTAATGCGCATGTCCGTGTGTATGACCGCTGTCCGTCTATATCTATATATCTAACACCATCTCTCCTCTTAAGGAATGTGTCATAAAATATTGTTCATAAGTTCACTATCGTGTTCGAACAATTATGCTAACCATAACAGTAAGTAATAAAGCAGTTCTCTATGTAGTTTTCTTAAACAGTTTTCGGATCAAACAGTTAAGACCCCACCTCTCGGGTGGTTGATGTGATCTGAACGTTGTTCAGATCCTGTTGTAGCCCTACCGGCTTCTTCTTGTTGCACTACTGGTGGATTCGTGGCTAGTTCGATATCCGGTTCTGCGACAATTTCTTCTGCTGGTGCAATATTCTGGCCAGTCTCTCCGAGCTCTGGATGAGGTTCAGCCGTATCATCACTCTGGTCATTTACTTTCACACTAGAGGCTCGAAGTTGGTCGATGTGACGTCGCCAAATTCGATTTGGACCAACTTTTATCTTGTATGAAAGGGGTCCCGTTTGAGCTCGAACTATGCCTGGTAGCCACTTGTCTTTCCCACTGTAGTTACGTGCCATGACAGTCTGACCAATGGATAACTGACGTGTGGGGGAATATCCTTTCCTCCCTGCTTGATCGATTTGCCTGTTCATCACTTTCATTTGTAAATCAGGTTTCACCAAATCGCCTCGAGTGCGTAGCGGTCTGCCCCAAAACAACACGGACGGTGATTCTCCAGTCGTCGAATGCGGGGTCACCACCTGTGCTGGCACTCCATATCGGGCAAAAATGGTTAGGAGTCGGTCAATGGTCTGCGTCGATGTGGTGAATGGCATTATTTCCACTTCAGGCCACTTCGAGTGTGCATCTACAATGATAAGGAACATTCGTCCTAGGAACGGCCCAGCAAAATCTAAATGGATTCTCTGCCAAGGTGTGGTTGGCCATTCCCAGGGGTGTAGTGGTACTTTGCCTCATAACCAACTCATGGACCTTCACCAATAGAGGCTCTCTCTGTGTTTCTCGTTTGACCTGTTCTGCTGTGACTGGCAAAGGCCCACACTGCGTGGAATAGAAGAGGCCCACTGGATCTGGCTATTCTTCTGTTTCGCTATGCAAAGGTAATCGAGACAAACCATCCGCATTCCCGTGTAACTTAGTGTTCTTATATCTAATTGTATAGTCAAAACCCGCCAAGAACAAAGCGTAGCGTTGTAATCTAGCAGCAGTGACAGCAGGAAGGCTTTTGCTGGGATGAAAGATTGAAGTGAGAGGCTCATGATCAGTCAGTAAGGTAAAGTTCCTACCGAAAAGGTAATTGTGCAATTTCTTGACTCCCCACACTGTAGCCAGCGCTTTATCTATCTGTGCGTAGTTGCACTCCGCCTTCGACAGGTATCTCGATGCAAACGCTATCGGTCGCTCTGTGCCATCTGCCATGACATGGGGCAGTACCGCTCCAATTCCTACAGGCGAAGCATCACAAGCCAGTTGTAAGGTAAGGGAAGGTTAGGATCATAATGTGTAAACACCAGATCTGAAACAATCATTGCTTTAACTTTGCAAAAGGCTTCTTCGCATTGATCTGTCCAGTTCCATTGGTAGTTACTTTCCGGCATTTGGTCCAATGGATGCAGGATTGTAGCAAGGTTTGGCAGGAATTTGTGGTAATAATTCACCAATCCCAGGAAGGAGCGTACCTCTGCAACACTCTGGGGGCGAGGGGCATTCACCATTGCAGCTGTCTTGTCGGTGGTCTTGTGCAGGCCTTCGCTATTAATGTCGTGGCCACAGAACGTGATCTTTTATTTGAAGAACTCACACTTCGATTTATTGGCTCTTAACCCATGGTGGTGCAGCCGTCGAAGGACCTCCTCCAAGTTAGCCATATGCTCTGCATCGCTTTTACCCGTCACAATCATCATCTAGGATACAACTAATACCAGAAGTTCCTTCCAGAATCTGATCCATGGTACGCTGCCAAATGGCGGGAGCCGAGGTAATACCAAACACCAATGGTATTACCCATGAACGTATTAATTGTAAGGTACTTCTTGGATTCTTCCTCCAACTCAATCTGATGGTAAGCTTGGCGGCGATCGATCTTGGAAAACATTTCCCACCAGCTAAATGAGCAAAAATATCTTCGATTCGAGGCAGAGGATACTGTTCTGCTTGTAATGTTGGGTTAATAGTACCTTTGAAGTCACCACAAATACGGACTGAACCATCTTGTTTCGGCACAGGTACAATCGGTGTCTCCCAATCACTCCACTCTACTTTCGACAAAATACCTTCGCTCTGAAGTCTATTCAGTTCTTCCTCCACTTTCGGTCGTAAGGAATATGGGACCTGACGAGCTTTGCGAAACTGCGGTTGACTACCTTCTTTGAGGGTTATCCTTGCTTTGGCAGATTTGAAAGTCCCCAGCTTGTCTTCAAAAACCTCTGCATACGTACCCAATAGGTTTTTCAGCTTCTCTTGTGTAGTCGTGCCAGGGTTTCTATGGCTGGGATCTGAGGATTTCAACAACGTAATGGTTTTCCAGTTGAGGCGAAGCTTGTGAAGCCAATCTCGACCCATTAACACTGGACCCTTAGTCTGGACTACATGGAGTGGCAATAGACATGATTGATCTAAGTATTCAACTTGCATGGCAAGGCAACCAACAGGAACGATCAGTTCACCAGTATAGGTCTTTAATACAGTGGTTGTTTTCTCTAACTTCTTGTCGCGAAGTCTTTCCAAGAACATGTCATATGGCAAAATGGACACGGCCGATCCTGTGTCTAGTTCCATGGATAGTGTTTGATTTTCAACTTTCACGTCAACCCATATGATATCACTGCTTGATTTGTTTACATTATGAACTTCTAGGTTATTCAACAAGTGCCCATACTCATCTGGTTCGTTCTCTATGGCATGGGTCGATTTTTGGTATCTTGATCTGGGCGAGGGTCGACCGGGCCCCTGGGTTTGTTGTGCCCGGCAAGCTTTTTGAATATGACCTCTATTTCCACACTTGTGACAGACTTCTTTCTTAAATTTACACTCAGTTGCAACATGGGTATTAGCTCCACATCGATAACACACTACAGGGGAAGGTGGGCCACTATCTGATCTATTCGAGGGTCTGTTCAGTGTCAGTTTGTCAAGACCAAGAGGTTTTTCTTCTCTACACTCGCTGTGGATCTCTCTAGCATCACGAGTGGCTGTTTTCATAGCAACTGCTATGGCAACAGCTTTGGAGAATTTAATTTCGACTCTGCAAGGAGACGTTTCTGAATTTGCTGATTACTTAATCCACACACCAATCTGTCGCGCAAGGTTTCTTCCAAGTTACTTCCAAAATTGCAATATGTGGTTAATTTCTTTAACTCAGCTATATAACTTAAAAAGCTCCCCCCCTTCTTGCTGATTTCTCTTATAAAAACGAAACTGTTCGGCTATTTCTAGTGGTTTGGGATTTAAATGCTTCTGTAATGTACTTACTATTTCATCAAACTTCTTGCCTGCAGGCTTCTTTGGCAAAAGTAAATCCTTTAATAATTAATACGTTTTGCCTCCAATCAAATTCAGCAGAGTTGGCACTTGATGATTGTCGTCGACATCGTTTGCAGCGAAAAAATATTGTACTCGTTCGACATACGTCTCCCAGCTTCGTTGGGTTTCATCAAAAACATCAATTTTTCCAATCGTTGTCATTTCTGGACTTATAACAATCCCAAATTCGTCGCCACTGTCGTGTATTTAGATTATACTTTTAACAAAATATGAATAATACATAAGCATGGCCGATCTACATATCTAATGCGCATGTCCGTGCGTATGACCGCTGTCCGTCTATATCTATATATCTAACAAAAGCTTTTGATCATATTGATCATAACATCCTCCTCAGTAAATTATCTGATATGGACGTTCCATCATTAATAACAAACTGGATAAGAAGTTTTCTTACTCTACGAAGCCAACGGGTCAAAATGCCCCCATTGTGTGTCAGAATGGCAAATCCTCAACGGTGGAGTACCCCAGGGAACTGTTTTAGGCCCAATCCTCTTCCTAATCATGATAAATGATCTGCTCGCCGATTGGAAAGACCGATGGAAATACGTTGACGACACCACCACTACTGAAACCATTGGCCCAGATTGTAACAGCAACCTTCAAGAACTGGTTAATTACATCGATAATTGCATGGACTACGAGTAATATAATATGAAACTAAACATTGGAAAATGCAAAAGAGGCATTGCTTTCCCCCTTTAACAGTGGATGAAGTTAATATTGAAGGAGTGAAATCTGCCCGTATCCTTGGAATCACAGTTCAAGATAACACGAAGTGGAATGAACATATAAACAACATAGTTAAAAAAGCTAGCAAGAGACTCTATATGCTAAGGCTACTAAAAAGGTCCAACGCGTGTATTGACACACTGACTACTGTATATACTACCATAATTAGACCTGTTTTGGAGTACGCGTGCCAGGTCTGGCATTACAATATCCAACAATATTTATGTGAAGATATTGAAAAAATACAAAAACGTGCATTGAGAATCATCCTTCCATCGCAAAAGTATGACGAAGCGCTGATCACGACTAACATCACGTCGCTGAGAGATCGCCGAGAAAAATTATGCGAACATTTCTTTGAGAAGAATATGGACAATGAAAATCTCAAAGATCTTTTACCACAAACAATTTTATCTGGATATGATCTAAGACCGATATGTAAACATCATAATTATGCTTGTAGAACTGAACGTTTTAAGAATTCGTTTTTACCTCAAAGTATATTAAAGATCAACAGTAAATAAGTTTTTAGAAATGTAAATACTCCTAAATATGTAATTATTATGTAATTTTAACTTCTCTTAATTTATGTAATACTGGTGTAATTTAACCTTTTTGGCTTACAAAGTCAGTAATCATTAAATCAATTCAATTCAATGCCTCGAAATAAAGTTTTAATACACTTTTCACTTTGCAAGTTTCGAAAACACAATACAGCGGCAGGATACCATACAGCACAATGAAAACATGGCAAAGCAAAAGAAAGAGTATCGTACAAATTGAGATACCTATTGGATACAAAACAAAATGGCTTTATAAGAATATTACTGCAAGGTTTTGCCTAACAGTCAGGATAGTTTTTGCTATTTGTTTGAAGTGAATGTTTCGGAGTTTTAAATAAGTTTTGACACAGTAAAATGATAAAGGAATCCTACCCTTCAAGTTAAATACAACATTTTGTGCTTTTTTCTTTTACTGGGGACGATTTTTTCAATATTACGTCGATTTTGAAACCAAATTTTCCGAATCATTCTTTTTGAAAAGCATTATTTACTAGTCAGGTGGTATAAATAATGCGTCAAATTTACTAGACAACTAGCCAATCAGAACGCGCGAAAACTAATTTGATATGCAAAATTTATACTAACCTTGCTTGTTTTCCTTGTCAGTGTAAAAATAATTACTTGTTGTGTTGTGTTGTGTTGTGTTGTGTCGTGTCGTGTTGTGTTGTGCTTGGATCCCTTAAAATATACCTGTACATACCTCTCGTCTGTGGATTGCGGGGTTCCCGTATCGAGTGTTAACATTTGTACATTTTAAATATCTTAATCATATATTATATATTCTATTTGGAATATTCGATACCTTGAAAGCATTTAGTAAATTCTATTTTGCAATCTCGGGCAGTGCACCGTCCACACAACCTGAACAGTAAAAAATTGAGCCCCAATAGTCGTGTACAGCTACGCACTGTTCCATTTAGTGTACTAAAGCGAATTTTGTCCGCAACAGTCAACACGAACATCCATTTCCCACATGTACAGTATGATATTTATAATATAGCATTTGTAAATTCTGAACGCTGATTGGTTAAGAGCCGTGTTGATATAACTCAATGTCAACACGGAAAATTTCTTTCTTTATATTTCCTTATGCTATATTCCACACAATTTCTCATTTCCCCAATTCCCCAATTCCCACTCGTGTTGATATAACTGTATATCAATACGGAAAATGTTTTATATTTGTTAAATGTAAACTATTCCCGAGCCATCTGGGCGTTAAAATCGAGGCGAGAGTACTAATTCCGCTCGGCAAAAGGAAAGCATGCATGAGCGAAATCTAACGTTCATCAATAATTGCGGGCGCGTGGGTGTGAAAGTGATCCTCAAAAAGATTTTTGCCATGCGTGGACTTCCTCGCTGATCTCAAAATATCGCTGTTTGGCAGGAGTGCGGTAAGCAAGATTTCAACTTTTCAAAAACATGCACATAATTTGGAAAATCGTTTCATTCTGACTATGGGCTATCAAGCCATTTTGCTTTGAGAAATTGAGGAAATAAGAAGAATGGACTTATTATGGGAAATTGTGAAATATAAGGAAATTTGCTTTCAATGTTAAATGTTTATGAATTTGTCTTATTTCGTCATTGCTTTCCTTTTCAATATATATGAAGCTGTAAGTTTCCTAAATTACCCTGTTTAGTTTAAATTAAAATTTAAAATGTAAAGGAGAGCAACTTATTTCAACACCGAACTGAAATTACTTAATAACTTGAATTTATTTTGTTTTATTTAGTTAAAACAGTTTATATTGGTTGAATGGACATTTCAAAACATCTTACAATACGTAGCGTTTCAGATTAATTTTACATTAAATCAAAGCTTAAAAAATGCAAAATAACATACCTATACAATATATATTTCGGAAATTCATTGTTGTATAAAAAGTACTAATCTTTCAACTATTTTTATTTATATTATTAAAATTATTATTAAATAAGTCTTTATTAGATATAACCACAACAGACGTGTCACTTCACATGAAAAACCTACAAGGTTGCAATAAGTACATTACTTATTAGTACTTAAATTTAGTAAGTTAAAATTACTTAGTCTTAAATTTAGCCAAAATTGTTATACTTATAAAGACACCTAATTAAAAACGACCGTTTAAATCTTTCGGTTTTAACATTAGGTAAAAAAATCATGTTCACGTTCTCTGATCTTTGTCTTTTAGGAGGAAGCATGCAGTTCGTATATAGGTGATCTGGGTTACTACATCAGTATTTTCTCGAATAAACTCATCTCATGTCTCTTATTCTCTTTTCTTTAATCACATCAATTATCTGAACGCTTTTTGTTGTGTATCCATATCGGTGTGTTCGCTTGAGAAATTTAACAATCTGGTCCAGGTATACTTCTTTTCAAGTGCAGAACCCCATACTTCAATTCCGTAAGAAAATAGAGATAAAAAATAATACCGAAAATATAAAAATTTAAATTGCTTTGACTACACTTGGCAGACAAAGCGAGCCTGCGGTAAGTCAGACTAATTACGAATACTTCATGTTAAATCAACTTTTGGAAAATATAGGTGAGGGATTGCTGCATGATGCATGTATTTCTAGTTGTATACAAGTATTAAGATAGCCTGTGTGCATTTCCATGACATCGAAGACTCGAAGTGCCATGTAATGGGACTGCACGCACGTAATGCCAACTCGAAAGCTTATTTTATCTTCGAATGGTGAAAACAATATTTTACGAACGAGCGCAGCGAGTGAATAAAATATTGTTTTTAACACGAGAAGATAAAAGTCATCTAATTCAAGCCACCGTGTAATGTTCTGTTTATTATATATAGTCCCAAGCAAAAAATTGTGAAATTTCACGCTCAAAAACAAATTGTGTTTATTACGGCCATACATGTATGATAGTAACTGCATACAGAAACATATTTATATATGAAAGATACATCAGGTAATTATTGAAAAATAATTATGAAAAATGTTTCCAACAAGCAAAAGTTTTAATAAACACTGTCAAAACATGCACTTCGCAGTTCTTTTTTCGGACACTTAAGACAAACCTTTTTGCCAGGTTCTTCAACTCATTCGGGGGGATTTCCTCGATTTTTCTACGTTCACCTTCGGCCACCAGAAACTCAAGGAACACTTTTGTGTCGTTGAACGTTTTTTTTCTCGTATTTTCGTGTTCCTCATTGAACCTTTCTACATCATCGTCCCTGATTTGGACAAACCTCGCCATGTTGCGAATTGTTGAAATGCTAAAATTGAAATTGTTAATTTTTGTGGAAAATGGCAATTGTTTTCATGTAAATTTGATCGGTCGTGTTTCTCATTTTTTACTCATTTTTAAAGCGTGCGCCACATTCAAACATTTGTATCTCACGTAATATTACATGACATTTTTAGGTTAGTCTTTCCTCAATACAATAAAACTTATTGGAGTGTAATAGCTTTTATAGTTTTTACCCTACATGAAGTCAAACAGCACAGGTTTTTTCTGGACACCCGGTAGGATATATGCATAGTTTTAACCCCTCAAAATAACAACTGTCATTATTTCATGTTCCTGTAGGTAAAAGAAAACGTATACTCAGCGAAAGCACCTCCCTTAAACGATCGAACCAGTCCAACTGCCAAGATTCTTAATACTGTATGCAGGTACTGTGTATGAATTCCGATCATGCTTATTTAGTTACTGGAAACAACGAAGATACATTAACAATTAACAATTAACTGTATATATACTGTATAGTTCATATATCAGCTACCTGATGATTCCTCGTGGGTAAAACAGGTTGTTGTTGTGTTGTGAGACATTCGTATTTATATCCCATGAACTAAAAAAAACAGATAAAAATTTATTCACCAATAATACAAATAAAATAGGAAAAATTTTATAAACGTCAACTTGGGTTCGGGTATCCCATGAACTTGCTCTCATCAAGGCTTGCGGATCGCATCCAGACATGCGCAGAGCGTAATGTGGCAAGAGTGCTCAAACGACCACATATATACACTAAGTGGTGTGATATTTTTTTGCCAGGTATCTCAAGTACCTGTCTATTTGTTGGAAAAGGCAAACTGTGACGTTGGGATGTTGTTGGAAGGTAAATAGCAAACAAATATATCATGCAGTAAATTTTACTTAACATAAGAAATTCGTGCTTGTACTCTGACGTAGCAGTGACTTTTTCATTAACATTAAATATATAGACATTATTTTATTCCTAGAACGAAAATGATCCACAACTGCTCGATGCAGAAAGAAAACTGGAGTTTAGCACTTACATTCGCGATCATGGATCTTTCAAAATATACAGCAATGGAAGAGTGCGGATTGTGTTCTGTGATGGAGCTGTAATGGATTTTAATTATCCAAATGAAGAAAAGTGCAAGATACGGAGTAGAGACGATGAGAATTTCTATAATGGAAGCTCTTGTGAAAAACATAAAACAGCACTGGTTGATGATACTAGCTTTAGATTGATATTACCAAGTGGGATTTCGTTAAAAGCTTCTTTTGACAGTCCTGCTGGGCCTTATAACAGGTTTGTTGAAAACAAGTAGAAATAGTTTTCTCACTCGGATTTCCATTGCGAAAGTTCTTTGAGTAAAGTTCCGTAAAAGACTCTTTCAGTCTTTGTGAACAAAGACAATAATGTAAACACAAAATATTTATAATAACAAAATATTTATAATATTTATAATAACAAAATATTAATAATATAGCCCCCCGGCTATTTACACCCGGGGAAACGAAAGCATTAGCGAAGTCTAAAGTTCACCAATGATCGCGGGCGTGGCTCACTGTGCGTGGGTGTCATCCTCACTAATCTCAAAAATATGGCGCACTGTCATGAATAGCGAACACTGTGATTGGTCCAATTTAAAGTTTGCATTATAACGACTGCATGACGACAGCGAAATAGCAAACATTTCTTGATTTGATGATATCATACCTAACATATATATGTGTATATATATATATATATATATATATATATATATATATATATATATATATATATATATATATATATATATATATATATATATATATATGTTGGGAAATTGATAATTTTGTAATTAAAAGTGATATTTTTAGGCGATTTTTCATTTGTAAGAATATTCTTAAAAAATTATCGTGTTACCATGACAAGTACTTTAGATACTTCATGTTCGGAAAATACAATGGTTTTGTCAGCAGGGCGAGGGTTTCTGCATGCGAGTATTTTCTAGTGTTAACAGTAGAAAAAGCTGTGCGTAGTCCCTCCTGCATGGGTAGTCTATATTTCCAAAGATGCCCAAGATAACCTCGTTTTTGTCGAATTCTGTTTAACCGTCAAACTACTGTATCTGACACAACGCACTGTTGCATGAAAATTCTTGTGTAATTTAAGGTTTTGATTTTATTATAGACTTCTTCGTTTTACGTTTTGTTATAGTATATGTTTTAGGTCGAAATATGTGTTCGGACCGGCTTTTTTGGCTCTTGGGGTCGATTAACGTTTGTCCTACATACATTACACCCTCGCGCAGATCTGTCTGAAAGTTTTGAATCTGCCTGTCTGAAAGTTTTGAATCCTAAAATGTTGTCGAGTCCTCCCTTTGGAAAGCTTATTTAGTATTTTCGTTATGGCAGGTATGTTCAGATTGCATTGGATTTTATCAAGTGGAAGCAAAATCATGTTGAGAAAGAAATGCAATTAGATTATGAATATACCAAGTAAGAAAACATTTTGTTATTATTTTATAATGTATCCGGCTGTGTTTGTCATTAGTGCATGTAAAGATGGCTGGATAAGTGTAAAGTGATGTTCATCAAAGTTGATTTGATCCTAGTTAAAACGACAAGATGATCTTTAACATTTGATCTGAAATGACGAATACACAATCTCATTGATAGACGTCACAAGGCTTCTGCCCGCGAGGAATGCTGGTCTTAGCAGTAAACTCCATGTCTTTTACTTTACCTGGAACGATAACACTCAGTCACAGAGGAAGTGCATACAGAGATCTCACTTCAGGTTAATTTCGCGTAAGGGATTTTTTCAGTCCGCCATGTTCTTAGCAAGTGCCCTAAAGAGAGGCAGTCACCCCCCTGAAAACATATTGAAAATTTAATATTCCAGGGGGGTGAATGCCTCTCTTTAGGGCACTTGCTAAGAACATGGCTGCCAGCTATTTGGTAAAAAAACGCCTTACGGTTTTGTAATGGAAATTACACTTCTGTATGTCTTTATTCTGTGACTCAGTCATTTGGCAATTGAAAAGTGAAGCCTCGCGTGTCCAGTGGCGTCAGCCTTCCACGCCATTTCTACGTCAGTTTCAGTCCCTTTATACGCCATCACTGCGCGGTCCATTGCCACGTCATATAGTACGTCAGTTTCCAGACCTGGAAATAATTCTAGCCTTTCTTGGATTCTAGACCAGGGGGACATATTTTCTTTGAAAACACTGTGATCAAATTTAGGCCGGGGGCATTTTCTTTGAAAACACTGTCATAAAATTTAGTTGGTTTAACAGCACTTAAATTTTGATTCTTACAACTGTTAGGCATTAACTGTGTTTCACATCCTTCACTGTTAATAAAATCTATTCAATCAATAAATTGGATATTGGATGATAATAATATTAATTAATTCAGTCTATGTTACTAATGTTAGCAACTTAGGTCTTATACTAAAACTGTCTGTACCAGTGTGGGTACTGGGTAGTACCAATGTGAAATTGCTGAGTGGTGGTTATATTACTACCTGAAAAAAACAAGCAGAAACTCGACGTTGAGTTTCTGCTTGTTTTTATCAGGTAGTAAATACTATATTAATAACCACTCGGCACAACAACTTAGGTCTTAGCATATCAAATTAAATTGTAATAAATGCTTATATAGTGTAATAGCTTCTTACAGTTGTAGTTATAACTTATAACAGTTTACTACTACCTGATTTGAAATTTGGAAGTTGTTTGATGAAGAAATTTAATTTCAAGGAATATTTTTATGTATGCTCAAGTGAAAAAAACTTTTTTTGTCCGATTTGTGCATCAGGTAATATCACTTATATCAGCCTTTTCAGTTCTAAAAAAATTGGGAAATTTTTAACCTTTTGTTGATTTTCATGGATATTTTTTTTAAAGAAATTTCAAAACTTTCTGCCAAAGAAAATTGAAAATCCTTTCTAGCAATCAAAAAATTTTCTAGGAACGTCGTTCCCAAGATCCACCACTATTTCCAGATCTGTCAGTTTCAGTCCCCTTATACGCCATCACCGCGCGCCATATAGTACGTCAGTTTCAGTCCCCTTATACGCCATCACCGCGCGGTCTATCACGAATCAGCGCGCGTCAGCAAGCTGGCGTTGGCGTGAAATGGCGTTGGTATTGGCTTCACGTTTCTCCCACATGTTATCGTTCCAGATAAAAGACATACATGGAGTTCACTGGATCGTAGTAGTCATCGTCCAGGAAAATTTCGATAGTGGCCATTTTGAGTTGTTTAGTTTTCCCGGACGATGACTACTAAGATAGATCAACTTTATTTAAACACATTGGCCTTTTCAACAAAAGCTGATTTCGAAAAGGGATGTGTACCAGCATTCCTCGCAGGTATCAAGCCTTGTGACGTCATTATGCATAAGGTCTAATGAGATTGTGTATTCATCATACGAAATGCTGTTTTCTCGCGTGTTCCTGTCATCCAGCATAGTACTATCAAGACATTGAGCCGATTTTCGTTTTAGGAACGGAATTTTGTTCGCAAAAAAGTTATAAGAATGTATAGGAATAAAAAATATAACTAATTACTATGCAGTCAGTGATGTCACCCGTAAGCAGCCATCCAAAACTGCAAAATTGCATTGCTGTCTAGACACAGTTTTATCCCCGAGCCAACGGTGCTTGGCGTAATCCCAGGGCGAGGGTACTTATTCCGCACGGCTATGTACATCCGGGAAAAGGAAAACTGCTAGCGGATCTCAAACTTCCAGGGATGGAATGGGCCAACTGGCAGGGCAACTGCCAATATTTCATTAATTGAAAACATATTTATATTTATGTTGAACTTTATTTATTTTTTACCGTTTTCCACAAAGAAATTAAACATTTAAAAAACGTGATCGTGTTGCCATGGCTAACATGACGTGGCAACGCGAGCCTGCTTTCAGTGTTGGCGTAATTTTGAATACTTCATGTTAAAACAATGTTTAGGAAAATAAAGGCGAGGGGTTCTTGCATGCATGTATATATTTCTAGTTAAAAATTTGAATATTTTACTCAATTATTTGCCATTACAGTAGGCCTATGGATATCCACGCATTTATTAGATTTCATTATTTATTAATGGATACACTTTATTTAGTCATGTTTATGAAGAACTTGAAAAGCTAAGACGTTTCACCGGTATCCTTTATCAAAATGTGGTTACAGTTAGAGTATAGGTATATGCAACTGAAATTAACACATACCCAAATATGTAGTTGTTACATATTTTAAAATCATTGCGAGAGAATATCTAACTATTAGACAATTGCAAAATGCAATTATATAGGCCCTTTGGGATTTGGGATTTAAATTTAAAAATTGAGCAAAGATGGCGTAACGTATAGATTAAATAACCAAGTGGCGATTTAACAACGAAACGTGTACTTCAGTTGTAAATTTATTTCTTGTGGACACTAAATAATCATGCGAATAAAGAAAATAAGTAACATTGACTTCTGGGGTTGTTTTATAGCTAATTATGCAAGTGAAAGAAAATAAATAATATTGACTTTCGGGGTTGTTTTAGGGTCCGGGTTCGGTCAAGTTCGTTTGCACATTTCGTGTCCATATAGGACGTGAAATTATAACCGGAAGTTTGCAGACTGAATTCTCGTTGAAAAAGTTCCCCAAATACAGTAGCAAATTTTAATCGCAATGATACAGGTGTCATTGAACGGCTAAAAGGTGTCATTGAACCATCTGAACGGCTAAAAGCCCTATCTTTATAACAGTGGCGAAGCCAGCCCGACAATTTAGTCATGCTATGCAAATTTTAAATCATCATTAATTTCTTTAGAAATTGATTGTTTTCACGTTGAATGAACACGGGAATATTTGCATAGCATGACCAAATTGTCGGGCTGGCTTCGCCACTGCTTTATAAGTATATGACAAAGTACAGTAAACCTATAAATGTAATACCCAACAAACGATAACACATTAAAGTTGGATTATACCTTTTTATGCTCCCTGTGTAAAACGACTTCGCGCATTCTTGTTATATTCTTTAAAAATTTGCCCTCCATCTATAGCTTCTGATAGCAACAATAAAGAACACTATATAGTTCCCTGTGTTGAAACTCACCAAGAAAGTGATGGATTGAAGGTATTAGTAACATGATACTTTATTTGTTTTTTCATAGTTGCACGACGTGTTCTGTAGCAAGGTAATGAGAATACTATTTGCTGTTTTAAGGGAAATTGAAATTATTTTTGTTTCAATCCGGAAGAGACATTCAATATGTTGCCAAACTTTTTACAAGTTATTTCATATTCTCTGTATTTCAAGAAAAATCATTATTCACATTGCATGTCTATCATAGAATATGTGTGATATAATTGTCACAACCAGGTACAATATTTTGTATTTAGAGAAATACACCCTTCCGGAAAGTAAGTCTTGGCTGTAGCCAAAATGACGTACTTTCCGGAAAGGTGTATTCTAATGACATCATGTTAAATTTTTGGAGGTATGCTTTGTTTGGTTGCCCCTGCCTCTTGTCTCACCGACTCTGCCATAAAAGTAGCGTTTACAACTACAACTTGTAACTACAGGTACAGTCGAACGTCTAATAAGCAACCATCTTTGTTGGTTGGGTTTGTGGCTGGTGAAGATATTTTTTAATATCCATGATTATTTTAATTTTTAAGAAATAATTAAGCAGGGGAAATATCCTGTAAATGTATGATAATATACAATTAGTGGACGAGGTTGAGAAAAATATCGTGATTTGTCAGCAGATCAGCTGCTGATGCATTGCAATGCAGAAGTTGAATGATCTGGTTACTCGGCGTAAAACATTCCCATTACAACCAAAATTGAATCAACTTTGAAGGAGTTGTTTTTGTTTGGGTACACACGCTTTCAGACACTGCACAAACAGCCATGTTTACTCAATGTGAAGTGTCAAAGGCGCATAAACAAATAAATAATTTGTTTTTTAAACTGCGCATGTTCAGTGCACTGCCTGTACTTGATATTTCAGCTGACGCATTATTCGCACAAGCGGATCCATCTTGACTCTGGGGAGAACAAGTATGCTTATAGCCATTGAAATGTTAAAATTAAAGTTAACTAGAAACTGTTTCTTACAGATTGGGGCCAATGAAATCTCAAATACTTTGTCACGTGAAGCACATCTGGTAATGTCACCGCTGTCCCAAATAAAAAATGTAGAGGGATATTTGAACGACACTCGTAAGGCCGTTGATGAAATAGACACAATATTGCAGAATTGCAAGAGGCAACTGGAGAAAAGATAAGGTACACGGGAAAAAACACTGTAAACTTAGGAAGCTTGTTACTTCGGTTAGTTAGATTGTAGATTGCAGTTTCCGTGGATAACAGGGTAACGAAAGTAGCAAACCAAATGTTTCTCGCGTAACCAAAGTAGCAAACCTAATGTTTCTCGTGTAAGCAAACTAGGTTCGATTCCCACCAGGGACAAGTAATATTTCAGGTTGCCAGGCGCAATCGAACCACTCGGAGTAAATGTATGTATGTATGCATCAATTGCCACAAGAGCCTGTCGGAACAAGTCATAATGCTCCTAGAAATCTGCTGTTACAGTATGTAAAGACAGATTTTGACGTAGTACGTACGAGTAGGAGGTAGTAATACGAATTTGGCAGCCATTCTGTTCTTCAAGTTTTTCATCCCACCGCACCCACTAGACTAGCACGTTATACTGTAGTAACATGTTTTTTGGTATGTTGTTACTTGAGATATTTCCGGTGCACGTATAGTTTTTGTTTAAGAGATTTTCGCTTGCGTTTTTTATTAATATAAGCTGCGGTAACACTTTAATTGAGTTAAGTTGAAGTATAGGTTGAAATCGTTAGATGTTGTTAGAACTATAGGGTCAGGGTTTATGTTTGGATAAGGACTACATAGAGCAACCAGTAACCAAACATATACCTTATATAACTGCTATATTTGTTCTTGAAAACTTCATGTTTTATGGTTTTATGATCCTTACATGAAGTACGTAGCGAAAACAGCAATCCCTCATTTCACCAGTTATTGAAAGCGAGAGATAATATAACACAATGAATAATTTTCAACGTAAAAATTTGAAATATTTGTAGCCTGGAATTTTACTTCCTTTCAATACACCCTTCTGATATAACTACGTCATGATATTCGAATATTTGCTTCAGCTTGGAGCCTCGATACGCCAAGTTCCAACCACCTGATAACCTACATTGTGTAAATCCTTCCACATTCAACGAAATATTATGAAATATTTAGCTTTAATGAACCAAAAAGGGAAAAAAATAGCATAATATGAAATTCGACCTCTCTTTAATTCGTCTTTATTTGTAGTTACAACACTAAGATTTGTATCCAGTAAAATTTTGAGGTCAGTGTGAGGGATAAAGATGTGTATCTTTGTTTTGATTATCTATATATTGGCTTTTGTGCGTTTTCAATTTCCACTCAGAAAATTTCGCTTCCTACGCAATCGACAAGCATTTCTAAATACTTAGCCTGACAGCTGGCTAGTTTCTGTTAGTTTTGTGTGCTGTTATTGTTTCGAACTAAATTATACTCTGATTAATATATGACTATCTATTGACATACAATTAGCGTTGTTGTATTATGGAATGTTTGCATATGTTTATGTGTTATGTGGAGAACCAACAATATCTTGTCTCCTCTTTGTGTAACGCAGCCACATACATTATCTTGTATATACATAACTATTTCCCGCATGTTTTTTGTTACAAGGTGTTCAAACTTTGGTCAGTTAATTAGAGGCTTATTACTATTAGCAATATTCAAAGCATTTCCTGTACTGAACACAATATTTATAGTTGCAATGATCATAACATAAAACATTAGCCGACTGTTAACAAATTATCATAGTCTCGGCAATTCAAATCCCAAAAATGGAAATTGTCCTTTTGCCGATTTCATGTTTAGGCAAAACTATGCAAATTCGATCCAGTCGAAGCGAGAAAGGAATATCAGGTCAGATCAGTATAAGAGTTGCAACTCGCAGTCGAATTTGATAGGATTCAACAATGCAAATTGGACCGTTCAAATTACGTGGACCCGGTTTCCAAATCCGTCTGATAGCGGGTAAACCTAAAATCTAAGTATCACTATCGTGCAGTAAAGAATAAGTGAAGAATAATAAGTGAAGAATAATAAGTGAAGAATAATCAGGAAAAATGCGATGTCTAAACTTTTATTGCAACGTATATATATTAAAGTGGAGGAAACGTACGCTAAGCCTAAGGTTATTTACAACAGGAAAATTGTATATACTACATTTGTAGGGATAGAGAAGTTTATAGTGCATGTTAATTTTACGTGCTTGAATAATCATCAGTGTCGACATCAGTCAAGGAGTAATTTATTATAGTTCAAACCGAATATCTACACTTTGTTTCAACGTGAAAACAAAGAAAGTAGACGCAAAACACTTGGATGCAGTGAAAATTGATTATCGTTAATCAGTTATTACTCAGTTTAATAATTCAACGAGCTTCTCGATTTTCCTTTTAACATCGAATAATTTATTCACCTAATATTGGAAATCGTGTTCCCTTATCGGTACCATGTGCATGTATATAAAGGAAAGTGTTTGGGGGCTTATATTATAAGATAATATACCCGCTTAGAATTATTCTTGAGACCCAATTATTCCTAAACAACCGGTTAATTTAGTATATATATATACCGTAAAAACGTTTCATGTTGTGGACCTGTAGATTTCGGAAGTGTTATACTTGTCAAAAACGTGGACAATAATATAGATGTATTGTGGTCGGATATCAAAACACAGGTGCCTACTTGTGACTCCATATGATCTATACTCATTTTGATTTTATTGTTTGTACAAATACGCGGATATGCAAATACTAATCCATTTCCAGCAGATGTAAGCGAAGATCCCTCCTCGCGTACGTGTTTTCGTTTTTGGTTTTCTTATATGATCGGAAGCCAGTCTTGACGCGAATCACTCATTCACTAGAAGTGTATCACGCAACCTCTCCTAATATTCAAGGACATGTATGGAGGGGTTATTTCTCACAATTGTGCTGTCGATTGTTATACCGTTGTTAATTTTGCTTATATGGTTTTTTGTAATTTTTATTCTGGTAAAGAAATGTGTTTTCAATAAGAGACATCCTTCCGAAAATGGGGACACTGTGCCTTGCAGGTTTCATGATTGTGCTGGTGAAACCACGGCCATATCGGATTGCCCAGACGAACCAATCTTAAGCAATCAAGAACGTTCTTCTGATGTCCATGAGCACTACGAAAGAGGTTCTTTCGCCGCCAACCAGACGTTACAGCTACCACTTTACTCGACTTTACCAAGAAATGCATCTCGTCCCTTCTCCAGCGATTGTTCCCGCGACGACCGAAGGACAAATTCGAGACATGGCTACAGACTTTGTCCTCGCAATTATTCTCCCTTCAGTCAAGACACTTCTTTGAATCAATCCGAAACTATGCAAGAATTATCTATGTATTGTGACCGCTACATCGCTGATGCACATTACGATCCGCCACCACCATATAATTCGAGAGAAAATGTGCGGGAACATTCGCAACTCACACGGACAGTTTCTGGGAGAGAGGCTGTCAGTCTCTCTTCGGCTTATGGGTGTGAAACTTGGATATGATTACAAAATTGCAGAAGAAAATTACACACCAAAGTAAGTTATTATCCACAGCATATATAGAAGATGAAGAGTCAGCTGCAGCCACTTGTTTTCCAATAGCGAACTCAAGCACTTAAAGGCTTAATATTAATAGCAAAAATTTAGTGTTGTAACATGTAAATAAAGATGGTGAGAAACATATTATGAAAACTTTTTGCAATTGCATTGCTGAAGTTCAGCCTTTATTAATTTAAATTGCAAGGAAAATTGTTAGGCATCCTACAGTATATCTATACTATATATCTGTTTGCAATTCTTATTGATTATTAGATACTGTTTGCTTTATTTGATTTGGCATGTTATATCCTAGGTCAGTCGTATAGTTTGTACATGCGTATATTCTTATAGTGATATTTTTAAACGTTTTATATTGTAACCATGACAAGTTAAATTTTATATGGTTTTGATCAACACGATATATTTTAATTGCGCTTGCTCACCCTATACATACAGCTATTTCCCCCGAGCAAAGCGGAAAATTCATTCATTTATTTGCGATTCCCAGCAGCCTTTCTCGCTCGTATTCGACTTTCCCGCTTTGCTCGGGGGACAACCTTAATTGAAATAGCTGTATACATATACATACATAGGCCTACACACATCTAACCCTATACTCTCAATAATCTAATCCACATCATGAGTGGAGGTATATGTCATGGAGTTCATATTCGATCTCGCTACAAAATAATCACTCTGATTGCAAATGCTTTTAGAAATTTAGTGCAGGACGAATTTTATTTTAAAATTCAAGAAAAGTCAAAATTTCGAATTCGTTTAATGTTAGTGTTTTTGATTTAGCATATCTAGCCACCTTAACTCATGTCCTAATGGACTTCCTATAGGAATGTATAAATTTTATGAAGTTGAAACATTTTAACATTTAAAATTCAGTTGTTTAAAATTCTTTATAGAATTCAAATATCCAAAATATCGGAACGTTATTGTCACTATAGCAACGATAGCACGTCATTTTTGTCAATATAAACGTGACATATTACTATTCACATTTCACAACACTCCCTGTTCCACTGGGCGGAATTTTGCGAGTGGAGCGGAATTCCGCCTAGCCTCCTGCGCACACGTTGTTAAGGCCATTTTCCTTTGCAGTCGCTTTGCCCGTCCCGGGCTTACGCCTAGAACGGCGCTCTTGACTTGGGAACTAAAAGAACAATGAGATAATGACAAATTAAATTGTATATGCTGTAAATCGACAGTTATCAACACCAGGGGCCTGTTGTTCCAAGCTGGATTAACGCTAACTCGTTGGATTAACGTTAATTTGCTGTCTTGGTCTGTGTATCTCTGCAAGTCTGTCCATTTTAATAATTTAGAAAATAAAACTTCTGATGATGCACACAAGATGTCTGGAAAAATATTTCCATATTTATAAACTTGCTTTTAGGAGGATTACTTTGACGTTTTTCGTTAATCTGGGATAATAAGCAGTACCGAACAACCGGCCCCAGAATATGATGTAGTTCTTTAACTGAGCGCTAGCATCAATAGCATGATAATATATACATCAGTATTAATATATAAACATGAATTCATCATAATACACGTTGGTCAAATTTAGCAAAATTTCTCCCACTCGTGCGGGCTCGTATTGTCAGCGGACATCTTACAGAAAGTGGCCAATTCTTTGAAAAATGCCAAAGTTTCAATTTTTCACCGCAAGTCCGCTGAAAATGCGAGCCTGCGATACTGGGAGAAAATTTGCTGAATATGACCAGCGTGTAAGTCAAATCAGAGTCTCGACTGCGCATCCAAATGACGCATTCTGCTTTGGGATAAATTTCATAACATGTAGTTGACACAACACCGCGGAAAAACGTCTGCGCATGCACCAAATTATGAAAATATGGCGGGGAATTTGAATATCAATTTCTAAAACAAAAACATGCTTATTAATTGGTCAAAAATTAGTAAAACAAACGAGAAAATATAGCAAATGGGTAGACTAGACATGAATTGAAAGCGTCCTGGCATTTAAAGTATGGAATGAAATAGAATTCATGTAAAAAATTGTTGATTTTAACGGACACGACTTCGAAAATTTTTGCAAAATTATTCAAAACAAAAATTCAAGCTAAAAAGTTAAGAAAACTCTCGAAAAGTTAAGCTTCTTAACCCACTCAAATTGTAGAATAAATCCTAAAGTTTAATTATTGTGAACACGAAAATTTTTTATATTTGGCGACACAGTTTTTTTTAGGGGAATGTATCTCAAACGAAAATTCGGAAATTCTCGTTGCTTAGTTGATAAACAAAATGTTTCAGACGATAAATTTGTCAACAATCGCCTTTAGTTCATGTTCTTGTACAATACAATTTCTTGAACCTTCTGGCTGTATTTATTTCTAGTTTTTAGAATGACATGTTTATTTTTGCGCTCGAAATCTGGCTGTAAAGACGCACAATGAAGTCACTCCTTTTTACCGCCATTTTGAGCCTTCGGAAACGTTCGGAACAGCTTCTCATCAAGTTTGCAATACTATTACAGGTAAGGTTGACGCATGCGCAGAGGTTTTTCCGCGGTGTTAGTTGACACTGGAAGAATTAGAATATGCACATGCAAGTATTCAACTGTTCAATAATTGGAAAACAGCTAATTCAAAAAAGTTTGTCCTTTACAAACCTTAAACCATAGACAATCCAGAAGACAGTCTTCTGTGAAGAAGTGTCTTCTGGATTGTCTATGCTTAAACCCAGAGCCTTAAACCTTAAACTCTAAGCGTGCAAAGCATAATGGGAGCATCAATTAATCCGTTTAGCAATCATACATAGTGCCTATTTCTTAGAGACATGGTAAATATCTCCTTACGAGAACAATTCATTCACAAATAGCTTCAATATTCGATTACTAAGCTTGAAACTTGTGCTCCCATTAAGCTTTGCACGCTTAGAGTTTAAGGAGGCAGTCCGTGCATGTAAAAACCGACCACTCGAATTTCGTAAGATTACATTATTCTTCCATATTTTCTGTGTGGAAGAAGTCATTCATAAAATGAACAAAAAACGCTGACTTTGGAATTGTAGTCAGTTTTAAAAATTTTTCGCAATTATTTCCGGACGCAATCGAAAACAAGTTAAAACGTTAATTAATTACGCAAGTGATATTTGAGCTTTTTATATCTCACTTTCATCTTGCGCTTTTAATCTAACTTCTTGAAACTTATATATTTTATTATTTCCTGCCTAGGCATCAACCTAAATTAAAAATTATCCTGATCACTTGAAGCAAACAAAATATTGTGATTTTTTAAAAACGTCTTGCAGACAGCGGATTCAGGGCCGTTAACGCCCCCCCCCCCAAAAAAAAACTTTTCTGGAATTAACATATTCGTAAAGTCGGGTTGGTCATTCGGAAAATTAGGGCAATAATAGTGTAACAAAATTTTAGTTGTTAAACAGAGAAAATATAATATAATTGTATTATCAGTATAAACTGATTTACGAAATCATGGCATTTACGCGGATTACCATGTACGCGGATGACCATCAAATGTACAAAACAGGCTCAAACCTGGCCATGGTAAAAGATAGTCTAGAGGAACAAGGGAAACAAGCAATGTCATGGTATGAAGAAAATTATCTACAAGCAAATTCAGACAAATTCCAGGTGCTCACCATAAACCCAAGAAAGGTGGACACTAGTCGACAGAATAAAGACATATTCTTGAATGGAAAAGTTGTCAAGAATAATGACCAAATAGAACTGCTTGGGGTAAAAGTTGATGACAATTTAAATTTCAGTAACCACATCAGCGAGTTATGTAAAAAGGCGAGCAGAAAAGTTGGAGTACTAACTCGATTACGCAATTTAATACCGTGACGTGTTCAGCTAAACTGATAATCTATAAAACATCTATCCTTCCTTACCGTCACATAGTTTGGCGTTTCTGCAAAGGGTTGGATAGACGAAAAGTTGAACGTGTCCAGGAGCGTGCATTGCGAACAGTTTATAGAACAAAAACATACTCTTATGAAACACTTCTGGAGATGACAGAGCTCCCTTCATTATACAACAGAATTAGGCTACAGGACATTGCGACTTACATGTACAAAGTTAAAAACGGACTTGCACCGAATAGTTTTAATGAAATTTTTAGTCTAAAACAGCCAACATATGCCCTACGTAATAGTGATTTTATTTTACCTACAGTCGCGTGCAAAAATAATGAGACTTTTCACATTTTTGGCCATTTTAAAGTACGTCGGCCTCCCCCCTGCCCCCATGATCAATGTTGGAAAAAATGGGTTGAATTTTCTCTTTTCAGTCATCCACACAACATTGAATTGGGGGGTGAGGGGGGCACTTATGCGGTTGTCTCAATAATTTTTGCTCCTGATTGTCTCTATTTGTACTTTTGAATAAAACGCAATTCGTTCATGTTGATTCAACTTAGTGCTCCAGGGAAGATGCTGACTTGGATTTCTTGTTTAGTGAACCTTTTGCTATATAATATTTTTTCTCAGCGGTTTTCTATAACTGAGTACTTCATGTAAAAAGAATATAGGGATCTTGAGAACTATAGTTATTTTTTGTTAGGAAAGGACGATTAATTGATGAATATATACATTGGAAGAAGATTATAAAATAATGAATAAAATTCAGACTATTTTTTCCCATGGCTGACAATCATGAGTATATATTTTTTTCTCAAACAGAATATTTTCTTTAAGTATTTTATAACAGACAACGCATCGTTCTGACCTACTTGTATACAATTTTGGAAAAATTTCAATGATTTTCCTACTTTTAGTTGAATTGTTACGTAAGATTGACATACTCACTAGATTTTAAACCCAATTCAAGCATTTTATTTATGTTGATATATGGACTTACCGATCGTAAACTTGCACTAGAATTTATTGCAAACTTCCATCTCCTACGATTTTGGGATTATGTGAGATGAGCTCAAGCAAATCTGGTCGCACATGCGCAAAATATCAATCTATTTTCACGTACTGATTATAGACACGTTACAGACACGTTACACCACACGTTACACCACACGTTACACCACACGTTACACCACACGTTACATAATAATCTGTAGTAAAACATATAGAGATACGACACGTTACACCAATTGTTATTAAAAATAAATATATATATTTATTTTTAAAAACAATTGGTGTAACGTGTCATATTTCTATATATTTTACTATAGATTATTATGTAAAGTAGGTGTAACTTGTAGTGTAACGTGTAGTGTAACGTGTGTGTAACGTGTCAGCGTTTGCTTAATGAAGCCAAGTGCATAAAATTTACATGAACTGATCACTTTAGATTAGTTGGTGAACATCCCACAAACACAACAGCACATATAGTACAGCGGAAAAGTAAAAAATCATGCACTTTGTGACGAAAGCACCAAATTCACAGGAAGTGTAGACTTTAACATGATAATGAATCTTAGATATGGAGGCATCACCAAAATTGATGCTGACGGCTTAAAATTTAGGATTTCTTATATTCTCTTATTAAACTCTATTACTGTTTAAAATTGTGAAATTGCAGGTTCACATATAGCGAAAATGACGTGCATGATTAGAAAGCTTACAAAAAACTACATATAAGACTTTTAAACGGCTGATTGATTTTCCAAGCGGTTTTGCAGTTATTGCTATTTAAAAACGTGATAAATAGGCAATAATCCCTAGGGATGGGCCGATATCGATACTAAATACTCGATACTATCGATACCAGGGTTTTGAAGAAAAGTATCGATACTGGCAAGAAATATCGATGTTTCGATATTTCTGCGCCTGCGCTATTTTTTCATTTTGGTCAGCGGCATCATCATGAAAATGATACTAAAAAGCCAACAAAAAGCCTAAGTAGGCGTAAATACTAGAAAAATAGTTCATTTTCTATTGTGCTATAATAGTTTCTGGTTATGTTGGTTGCAATCACTGACATATATTATTCAATGTTTGTATTGTTAGCGTTGTTGCCGTTGTTAATGATTAAAAATAATCTTTTTGTTGTTATGGTTGTTCGAGTTGGGAAAATATCGATATCGGTATCGATATCGAAAAAACCCGGCAAATATCGAGGAAATATCGTATCGAATGAAAAAGCTGGTATCGCCCATCCCTAATAATCCCGCCAAAGTCCTGGACACTAGCCCTAAAACATATTTTCAACCGCTCATAACTCCAGAGGAGTTGGAAAATCAAAGTAACTGCTTAAATGTCTTATATGCAGTTTTTTGTAAGCTTTCTAATGACGCATGTCATTTTTGCTATATGTGAACCTGCAATTTCACAATGTTTAATTGTATAAGAGATTAATAAGAGAATATAAGAAATCCTAAATTTGAAGCCGTCAGCATCAATTTTGGTGATGCCCCCATGTCTAAGATTCATTATCATATTAAAGTCTACACTTCCTGTGAATTTGGTGCTTTCTTCACAAAGTGCATGATTTTCTCAAATATCTGTGCATATCCGCTGGACTAATACTGCAGTATAAATGACAAAGTTTTCTCATTTTTCGTCATATGGCTAGGCTTAGGAACTCTCATATAATGATTGCCTGCTGAGGAAATGATGGCTAATTGAGCTTGAAAGGATGTAAGAGTAGTTAAAACACTACACTAGATTTGTATATGGCTTATTGGATGTGTTGTTACTATATCGCAAAGTATTTTAATAAATCGTGTTTAGCCTACAACTTGTCTATTTTCCCTAGTAAGTAAATGATAGTAAAAATTAAATTCGTTTGAAAACCTTCTTTATTTTTGCCCAGTCCCCCCCCCCCACGCAGCCTCCTTGCAGAATTTCTTCATTTTGGGGGACAAAAAACTTTCGGGTAATTGATTGAAACATGTCAATCTCATGTCATCTTGATCGCTAGATTTTGGCAAAATTTCAAATTTTGGACAGCTAACCCCCAGGCAGCTCCATCTCAGACAATCGCGTGCAAAAATAATGAGACTTTTCACATTTTTGGCCATTTTAAAGTACGTCGGCCTCCCCCCTGCCCCCATGATCAATGTTGGAAAAAGTGGGTTGAATTTTCTCTTTTCAGTCATCCACACAACATTGAATTGGGGGTGAGGGGGGCACTTATGCGGTTGTCTCAATAATTTTTGCTCCTGATTGAATCGCGTGCAAAAATAATGAACTTTTCACATTTTTGGCCATTTTAAAGTACGTCGGCCTCCCCCCTGCCCCCATGATCAATGTTGGAAAAAGTGGGTTGAATTTTCTCTTTTCAGTCATCCACACAGCATTGAATTGGGGGTGAGGGGGGCACTTATGTGGTTGTCTCAATAATTTTTGCTCCTGATTGTAGATTTAATACTACCAAATATAGCAAACATTCTTTGCGTTACTTCGGACCAATGCTATGGACAAAACTGAATGACGGTATTAACTAATCAGTTTCAAGGAAGCAGTCCGTAAAATAGACATAGAGAGCTTGCTGGACAACAACTCCAACTGCTGCGAGATGTGCAGGGAGTGAAGAGATACACTTATCTTTTTCATACAGTATTTATATAGTCTATAATATATAATAATAATAATAATAGTTTATTAGGACTCTCTTGCAGTTACAGAAACAACTGAATTAACGAGTACTTTACAATAGATAAGAATATGTATACATATTATAATTCATATACATATTATAATTTATTGTAAATTTTTAGTGTCACCAATTAGCTGTAAAAGTTAAATAACCTGGACACTGAAATAAAGTTTTTGTTATTATTATTATATAACATTTAACAAATCGTAAATCGGTAAATATTTTTCGGTTTATTACTTCTCAGGGCCGTAGCAACCAGGGGAGGGGGGGGGGGTTGTGCAGCCCTCCCAATAATTTCCTAATAATCATTCTTTTTTTTCAAAATCATGCGGACCTTTATCATTTAACCTTTAAAATACTGACAATTGATTAATTTTAAGCGGCTACATTACTGGAAAGAATTACCCATACTTTCCTGCAACTTCTCCAATATATAGTTAATTAAATACGCCTTCGCCCATTTAGTACTACTAAATTGTAAGCAAATTATAAATTTCGACAAACTAAAACACTGAGAATTCTGTCAAAACTTCGCCAAAGTCCAGGAAATGGC